AGTTGTAATACAGAGACAAACGATTGCACCAAAGAGTCCATTGATTTTATATCAGCTCTTCTTTTATTCAATTCACTATTCATAGCAAACCATTCAAATAAGTTCTTGTCTTTGACTTCATTGTAACCATTGCTGAGATAAACAACAAAATTGTTATTAGAATTAGACACCCATCCCATCATATATAAGACAATACTAACATATCTTACACTTAACTAACAATACAATGCGATATTTAATACATTACAAGATTACTCACCAAATATTTTATATAAATAATTGTCTACAATAATGGATATTGAAGTACATTAACGACAATTTTTGTGGTTTGGTTTTCACGCAAAATTACATACAGAATATTGTCATTATATATGAGAAACATAAACACAGTATAAATTATACTTCAATCAAAATTACATACACAAAAACTATTAAAATTCAAATTGTTGATATAGTTAAAAATGTTGGAATCTTATTAAAATTTTATTTCATTGTCTATACAATAGTGCTGATGGTAACTATGAGGTGACAATAATGACAAAAGCCATAATTGTAAGCATTTATACGAATTAAATGTTAATTTAATAAATGTCTAAAATGATTGACTTGTTTAACAACAGCACGACTCCGGAAAAGTAGAGTGGAATCCGCCGGCAATTTATAAGAGTTCCTGTAATATAGATATAAACTATTTCCCATTTGATCAGCAGGGTATGTCTCACTAATACCTTATTAACTTATTTTATTATCATCATTTATTATTTTAAATATTAAAATTTCTATGTATTGTATGTCCCAAACAGAATGTTTTATGAAATTCGGGAGTTGGACGTAAGTAATTATAATTATTAGGAAAATTAATTTACTGTTACTTTAAATAGTCTACTATTACATCAAACAAAATAAAGCCGGTGTTTGCAAAATTATATTTATAAATTTATTCATTTCTTTCAGATACGATGGAAATCAGGTATTTATTATGATATTAAAAATGCTTTGAATGTATTAAAAATGGTATAACGAGTGGAATGAAAATGTGATGTTTAGGTGGATTTGAAACACTTGTACGATCCGATTGGAGAACCCGATAAAGAGTCTGTTGTCGACTATGGCATCGATTTATCGGAATTCTATATTAACGTTGAATGGGATATAATGACAGTCCCGGCGATGAAGAGAATCAAGTATTATAGCTGTTGTCCCGAACCTTATATTGACGTTACATTCAATGTAACGCTTCGGCG